GGGCCCCGGGCGGGTGCGGGGCTGCATCTTGGTCCCGGCCATCGGGCCCCCCTTCTGGTGCCACGCTGGGGGGCCCTCCCCCTTCTGGTGCCATCTCGGCATGCGGGGATGGTGCCAGCCGCACGTGCACCTGGGTGACATGGGTGCCCCCTGCCGCAGGGGCCGAGGTGAGGGTGATGCCACCAGGGGACCGGGCGGGTTCTGGGGCCAGGACTGTGAGCTGAGGGCCCGTGGCCTTGAAATGAGTGGTCAGAGGCCTGCGCGGGGTGAAGCCGAGGGGCAGTGTGGACTTCTGCAGGGGGGATGCCACGTGGTGTGTGACGGGCCCGTGCGGGCAGCGGGGCAGGGTGGCCACTGTGCGCGGGGCCTCGGGGGCGTCAAGGGCCTCAGTGGAGCGCGGGGCCTGAGTGGGACGCAGCGTCATGGTCTCCTGGTCGTGGCTGGCCTCGCTCACGGGGGACAGGGAGGCGCGGAAGGCCCCAGGTGGGGCGGAGGGCCCCGCCCCCGTGATCTTCTTCCGGGCGGCCTTCCGCAGAAGCTTCTGCAAACGCAGGTTGTCCTTCCCTGGCTTGGGCAGCAGGGGCGGCGGGGGACCTGGGGACCCCTGGGCACTCGGGCCACCCACCTCCGGGGGCGTCGACACGGCCGAGATGAGCATGGCTGCACCCTGGTGAGAGGGACGGCGGTCAGGCCCAGCCTGTGCCCTCCCGTGGTGGGGACGCGCGTCCCCTGGCACAGCCGGCCCCGGGGGAAAGGCCAAAGCCTCAGAGCCTCTGCTTCTTGCACCCCAGACCTGCCCAGTGTGTTCTAGCTTGTGGGGGTGCCGAGACTGGGGCCCCCACTCTCAGCCTGGGCTGGGAAGGCGGCCGTGGAGGCCCGAGGGCCCTCAGGGGGCCACAAGGCCGAAACCCGCCTCTGGGGCTCTGTCTCCATGCCGTCCCGGCGCAGGGCCAGCCCGCCCGTGAACGCTGCCTGGGCCAGGCCATGGTGCCTCTCAGGATGGGGGCGGGGACCCACGGGTGGGCTGTAAGTGGGAGGCCTGTACCTGGCCAGCTGCCGGCCGGGCGAGGGCTGGAAAAGCGGCCCGCCCGCCCGCAGACACGTGAGGGGCGCCGCGGCGTCGCCGGCCCGACCACAGACGTGTCCGCTGCCAGCTCGCGGCGAGGGGAGGCGGCCAAGAGGCTCCAGGAGAGCGGAGGCTGCATCATCAGAGGTCGATTGGCGGGAAGGAGGGAGCAGTTTTCGCTGAGCTGTGCTAAACAGGATATTCCCACAGCCCTCCTGGCCGGGGTGGTCCCCGCCAAGCTGCCCGCCCCGGTTTCTGGGCGCCACGTGTTTGCAAGGACATTGACAAATGGCATCGGGGCTGAGCCAGAGGCCGTCTGGTTTGGGGGAGGAGGGAGGCCCGGGGGCTGCCGCCGGGGCCGGCTCCACCAGGCAGGAGCGGATCTGCTGGGGAGGGCCCAGACAAGGCTGGCCCAGGCTGGCCGCCTCCAGGGCCAGGACTGCCGGAACCACAGAACCCCAGTCC